ACTCGGCCGCTCTGAGCTGGTCCGCTAACTAGGACAAAGTCAATCGTTTTTTTTCTTTCTCACGGCGGAGGCGCTTTGGGACGGTAACAGGGTGGGCGTCCTAACACCTCCCCCTGAAGGCTGTTGGGTTCAATCGTAGGACTGCTTGCGAGGATCGACTTGAATGGGTTTGACCGGTTTGCAGCATCTCTTCGTCCGCCGACTCCATCTCATGGGATACTTGCACTCATTGTCCTGCGGTTGTAACGTTGACTCTGTCGGGTGTTCGGTTTCATTAGGGCGTTCTTTCTTCAAGTCGAAAGTGTCCAGCAGTATGTCGAGTTGCGCGGTTGGTCCTTCATGGTCGTACAATGCATCTCCGCGATTCCAGCGAATCTGGTTTGCATGCCGCACACATGTGGTTTCGCTGACTTTCACTTCATAGAGGACTGATCCCCACAGTCGAACGATTATTCCTTTCCTCCGGTCCAGCGGTCCATGAAACATTCGTATAACTACCGGCTCGCGGATTTTGAAGTAACGTGCACGAGCTCCGTGTCTTTCATTGTACTGTCTTTCCACTTCTGCATTGCGTCCTCCCCCTCTGTTTGAATGCGGAATCATGATATCAAAACAGTCCTCAATTTTCTACTGAACATGCATTCTGCCGGCGACTTGCCATCCAGGACGTTCGGATTTGGGGTTGTCCGGTAATCGGTCAAGAAGGTCTGTAAAACATGGCTTGGGGGACCTTTTCCGTTGGCCTTTATTTTGGTGCAGCAGCCAAGTTCTTCTGTGAACACGTCCAAGTGTCTTTGCTGGAGAGCGTTTGTGAGTTGATGGTGGACTTCTGGAGACATCGTGGGCTTCTGCTGAGCTCGAGTGCGATTGCAGATTTGAAATAATGGTCCGTCAAATAAGTGTAGTCTGTCGATCTAATCCAATCCAAGGAGATTGAGGCCAGGATTGCGGCTAACGTAGCAGGTACAGCTGATTGATGATGCGTTGAGGGCTGCAGTGCATTGGACTTCGCCAATGATAGGCAATCGATCACCAGTAGCGCTTCGTGCAAGTTGGGTTGTCGAGCGTATTGTACGTTTGCCAATCAGGTGCCACGTGCGGTCAGAGATTAGTGTGATGTCGGACGTTATGTCGAGCTGTAGTCTGACCGACTTGCCGTTGATGAAGACAGATATAAACTTTCTGCGCGTCTGGTGGTCGTCGTTTCTTGCTACGAGAACGATCTGTGCTCTTGAGAAGCGGGGCTTGTGTGGCTTGCGGGAGTTCTGGTTGAACGGGTGATGACGTTTCTTGAGGCGGCAGTGGTCTTCTTTGTGGCCCCGTCGGAAGCAGTGGGTGCACCGATGCTGTTTGAATGGGTAATATCGGACATAATGCCATCCACCGCACTGCCAATATGGTGTGGGAGGTTTTCTTCGGCTGTCGCGTTCCGACATTGATGCAGCCTTGACTGGGACATTTGAGGATACCGTGTAGACGTTTGATTGACGTCTGATTGACTGTTCGATCATAGCGGTGTCATGCTTCAGGTTTACTAAGCGCTGGCATTCGGTAGTGATATCTTGCAGGGTAATTTCAGGACTTTGTTCTATCTTTGCCAAAATTCTTTGGGTGACTGGAGTCCACAAGCGAAAATCAGACATTCGAATTGATCTTCGGTCATTGTTCGAAGCTTGAAAAGTTCACACTCCCGA